AAACACCGCCTGTTTAAATAATCCTGAATGCAGAGACTAATATAAATCTAATAACGCTATTAAAATAGTTTCTTTATTATTATTAGCACTTAAATGAATCCATCAGCATATAGGAAAAATTAGAAATGCATTTTCGCTTTTCTGATATTCAGATATGTTTTCCGCAAATATTGTGCAATTTAGACGATTAGACCACCGTTTTGCTTTACATAGACTGTTTTAATTTACGGTTTTACAAAAGCTAAATATCTCGTTTGCGATGTGACAAATTAAGCTAAGAACTAATTAACCTATGTATACCGTCGTGAATTCTGAATGTTGTATCTTTCTAGATCAGAATGCAGTGGTAACTTGTTTTGTGTCAGCAGTATGAAGTTTTAATATTAGTCCTTAAAGCTGCACTAAAACTACATAAATATCCTAAAAATCAGTGTAACCTAATTTTAATTTATCTATTTTAATTTAAACTTTTCCCAATGGCTCTTGGAATTTCAGCACCACGTTAAAAGTGCAGTGTTGCCTCATATTAACCCAAGTCCTGAAGATTTAAAGACATTCTATCTTTTGGGTATGTAGGCTACACGGCACCAGTGAAGAAGCTGTGGTTGTGTAGCGTTTCTTTAGTTAATATGAGGCCAATAAAAGCTACGTGTGCCTGTGTATTAACCATGAACCGTGAGAGCACCGGTATAACGAGAGCCTGTTCAAATATTTGATGAACCATCTTCACAATGTAAACCTACAAGATGAGAATGTATCCACCTTTATGTCCAACACTACAAAACCCAAAGCCATATAAAAAAAGAAAAAAGTTGACAATGGAAAAATACTAAACCAGTTTCTTTGTTTTTCGAGCTCAAGTTTGTTTACTGAGGCAAGAAAGCGTAATGACATTTACATTTAGTCATTTAGCAGACGCTTTTATCCAAAGCGACTTACAAATGAGGACAAGGAAGCAATTTACACAACTAAGAGCAACAATGAATAAGTGCTATAGGCAAGTTTCAGGTCTGTAAAGTCTAAGAAGGGAAGTATTAGTAGTATTAGTTTTTTTTTTTTTTTTTTTGGGTACAATAATGAGATCTCCATTAGCCAACAGCATTCGCGCGCTCCTTACCACTTATCAAATCGCGTAGTTATAATTTATAAAAACCTCAGGTGTAAAGAAATATCCTCAGTAAAGCATTTCAATATAAACTAATTATAGAGATCTCAAACATGAAGGCTTCTCATCGGTCGCAGACCCCTGACGAAGATGATCTCAGTACAGACAAAGTGAGCAGCCTTGCGAATTCAGTCCCTTTTCTTTTGCACTGGTACTGGTTGCCCTTTTAAAGGCAAAATCTCCACCTTTTAATTGATTTTCTCATAATTAACTCAGTCTCCTCATCGATTTCCCCCTCAGCGGAGATTCAGCCAGTGTGGCGGCAGACACTAACGGCCGCGCGATGCTGTTATTACAACGTCGTTATCAAGGATACGCCGACAAACAAATATCGACCATATTGATTACAAAGCTTCCCAAAGGAGTACACATGTGTAAGTCTAGATATTTGTCCACAAGTCAAAAGACAAAACCGAAAGGAAAGAATGCTAATTCTAGGATTTAAATCACCACAACGACTGAGCTAGTTCCAGACAAATTGTTTAAAGAGTTTTTAAATTTTAAATACAACTTAAACCTAGGCTACTACCTTAGCATTCAGTAACACTAAGACTTACAAACAGTTAGCTATATATATATATATATATATATATATATATATATATATATATATATATATATATATATATATATATATATATATGTTCATTCAGAAATGTTTATGAGCTCCTTCGTCATAATAACAGCGAATGGCTTCGTGAGTGCACAGTATGGTCTACATTTGATACCAAAACACCAGTAATAGGCATAGGAGAGAATGAATGACAGAAAGCTGCAGTTTTCTACATCCTCACTGTAAAACACGAGCACATGCATATCTCATAAAATAGTTTTCAAATGTTCCCGCGATGCCCTGCGCCAATTACAGCATGCAGAAGAGCGCGTGCAGTGGCTCGCGGGAGGCACACCCAGATAAACAAACTGAGAGAAGCGAAGAGGGTTGTCCCGTGAATTAATTTCTATCTAATCAATAACAAGAAATCCCCGGTCTGAGCAGTGAGCCAGAAATCATTACAGGCAACAACCCTGTCCGCCTCTCTCCTGTGCAGGACAGGTTCAAATGAGACAGGACAACTTTAAAGCGTTTTCTTGAATATACGACAAATGAACATAAGTAGGGAAAGATAGCCTATATAATAACACAGAGCAGAATGATGGAGGCAGAGTATGGATGAGTTATATGAAACAAAAGCTGTCAGTTTGTTTACACAACATTACCGGCGTTTCCATCGATGAACGCGCAGTCTCCAGTCATACGTATACGCGCGAGCTGCTCGGCCACGGGAAAGAGTCGGACACAGCAACACGGGAGAGAGGAGTGATATTTGGGGGTGTTTTGTTGGGGGGGAAATAGAAAAGGAATCGGGTGAGGAGCCTGAATTTGAAATTAGGGGCAAAAGGTGAGGGGGTCGGGCGGAGGGGGTGCTCGCTGCCCCGCTCTGCCTTCAGCCGTTTCCATGACAGCATGTTGACCGTTGCTGATGAAAAAAATTAGGTGCGAGAGAATTAGAAAATTAAGTAAAAATGTTTTAGCTTTATTTACTCGAGGTTTCATCCTTGTTTGTTCGTTTTCTTCAAAATATGTTTTATCTTAGACTTGACTGAGAAAAATAAAGCTGCCATCTATAGGTGGAATTACTCAATTGCACACAAAAGGCGGGGATTTCACAGCAGGCCTCGCTCCTAAATACCCAGCCTGATCTCACGAGAAAACATAAGTATTTTACGTTTTGCCAGTTTGGCAAATCGTACGAATTCATACGAATTAGCCACTAAATGAAAAAGTTACGAATTGCCGTGAAATTGTGTTGAAATACCATGTTCTAAGCTGACTGGTGCCCTACTCCAGTTTAGTTTACACCTTGTGATTTAGTAATAGTTTAATCTTCATAATTTTATTTGTGGGTATAAAGCATTATCTTTGTTACATATATAAACATTTTTCTAAGATGAAAACTTATTGATTCATAAAATAAAAGTGTTAAGCTTTCTTTGATAGTAAAAAAAGAACCTACAGCAAACACAAAAATTAATACAGTGGCCCATGTCACTAAATCATGGCCTTTGTTTTGCGTGTATGTTTTTTGGAGGTGGGGTTGTTTTCTCTTGTTCTCTCTTCATTCATTTTTTTCCGGCCCTTTATTAATCAGGGGTTGCCACAGCTGAATGAACTGCCAACTTATCCATGTTTAACGCAGTGGATGATCCATATCCAGCAGCAACCCATCACTGGGGAACATATTCACTCATTCACACAGACACACTACAGCCAATTTAGCTTATTCAATTCACCTACAGTGCATGTCTTCAGACTGTGAGGGAAACCGAATCACCTGGAGGAATCCCACGAAAACACAGGAAAAACATGCAGACTCCACACAGAAATGCCAACTGACCCAGCCGAGGCTCGAACCAGCGACCTTCTTTACCCAGTCTGCCATGGTGACGCCCATTCTCACTTCACATTTGAAAAAATCTTAATGCTCTGAGAACTCATCTAAATCTTGGACAGTCTTGTTATGAGAAAATAAACAATACTTTTATGAAATATCTACACTACACCAAAATATTACAACACCTACTACTCAATAGACACACAGACCTAATTTAGCTCTTCAGCACCATGGACAGAGCTCTAAATGTACCACCCATAACACTCCTAAATACACGTTTTCCTTTATTTTCAGATCTAATATAACAGCAAAAACAAATCCTACCTCAAATGAAAGCAGCATTTATAAACTCCCAGGGCCACAAGTTACTGCAAACTGTAAAGGAGCGGCGACTACCTCCAAGGCCTAAAATACATCTGAGACCCTGCTTCTGTCCAATGGACCCTCACCTTCACACATTTTACAGCTTTCGGAGTCAGTTTTTCTTCAAGAGCAGACTGGGAATTTATATATTTGGTCCAGTGATCAGCTCCTAAGAACAGAAAACAGCAACATTTCAGTGATTCCAGTTCATTTTCCTGTGAATCAAAAAAAAAATTTGAGCTTAGTTATTGGAAAAAAAAATCCCAGCAAATCTTTTTTTTTATGTAAAACATGCATATTACAATATACTGCATAACTATGTACCATACAACTGCTTGGGTCAAACAAATGTATAGAAAAAAAAATATTGTTTTATAGATAAAACTATTATAACAATCATTTACATAGCAAAACAAGCTTGCCAGGCACATTCAGCACTGCAAAAAATGCTTTTCTTTCTTAGATTTTTTTGTCTTGTTTTTAGTCCAAATATCTAAACTGCAAAAAATGCTTTTTTTGCTTAGATTTGTCTTGTTTCTAGTCTAAATATCTGAAATTTATTTCTTATATCAAGAAGCATTTTCTAGACAAGCAAAACATATTGTCTTAAGAAATAATATGCCAAAATGAAGTGTGTTTGTCCTTAAATCAAGCTAAATAATCTGCCAATGGGGTAAGCAAAATAATCTTATCACAAATTGAAAAACAAGACAATTTTGCTTACCCCATTGGCAGATTATTTTGCTTGATTTGAGGAAAAACTCACTTCATTTTGGCATATTATTTCTTAAAACAAGACAATATGTTTTGCTTGTCTAGAAAATGCTTCTTGATTTAAGAACTTTTAGATATTTGGATTAGAAACAAGACAAAAATCTAAGTAAGAAAAGCACTTTTTGCAGTGAGAGCAGTAATCTGATCTAAAATTGTGCACAATTATGTTAAGTAACAAACAAACTAAAACATGAGGAATACTTACAGTAAAGAAGAAACAGGGATTTGGCTCCAGTATTTCCAGAACAAACGCAAAAACTGAAATAGAACATATTTTGGCACACAATATCAAACAGACACAACCATTTACTGACAATACTTTATTAATAACCATATTTAAGTAAATGTACATATTCCAAAACAATATCTAGTAAAGTCATATTAAACAAAAACACGAAACACAAAACAGTTTTTAATTTTACACTCCAAATTGACTTAATAATCAGTCATATGACAGGACTGATTCCAACTGAATAACCACCAACCACATACTCAGCTTTTATCTTCTTTACATTTTTGTCATAAAGGTACAAATATAACAAAAAGGCCAACATATTCTTCCTTTTTCCATCTCACACCAGTCAGGTCAAAGGTTGTCTTTCAAATCTGGCTGGTGTCAAATCAGAGGTCATCTAATTTTAATTAACAATAGTTAATTTTTCTTTCTTTCATTTTTTCTCTCGCCAGTTCACGAAGGCCTTTCAAAGCCCTGGTAATTCACGACTCAATGACCACGTTTCTGAGACAAATAACATCGCTATTGAGTTTTGGGACGAATTTAGTCTCACAGTGGTGACATTGTGGAGTCCCTGTAATAAATCAGAATCACTACAGCATCTTGTGGCATCTCCTGATCCTTAACACAGCTTCAGATTTTGTTAGACCTGGTCCAGTCAAGTACTGCATACAGAATATTACAAGCCTTCTAGCAGACGAGTGCATTTGGTCATCTGAAGTATTATTACCAGCCCAAACTCTTAAGAATTAACTTAGCATTGACCCTTTTCAAAACAGGAGATCTAATAAAAATAAAAAATCACTGTATAATTATTCCAATCTTACTGTTTCTTGTCACTTTTTAAGGTGGTTATTTTGCAAACTCTTCTCTGTATTCCTATTATACATTTATTGCATCAACTTTTATTTATTTATTTTTTTTACTTTCCAGTCAAATTCAAGGGTTTAATGAACAGTTTGCACCATGTTTTGAAATTAATTCACATTCCACCTGTGGCAGAGTAAGTAGTATTCAGAGATGCAGATCTTTCCTCTAAACGGTCAAGAATTTCCTATCAGTGTCTTTCAGAAATGGTCAATGTCCAACAAAATGGCTGGCCGGTTTAATCGCGACTCCTCCAGCAGGATCTCCATCCCACAGGGTCACCAGCACTTAATGAACAATGAAATAAAAAGGCAAAACATCTTCATCCATCACAGCCGAAGGTCCTAGGTGAAACCGAAATCTTTCAGGGCCTGTGAAGGAAACATAAGATACATCACTTAATACATATGGGAAACAACACAGTCAATAGGACAGAAAAATAACTCATAAACAATGAAAATACTTACACATGAAATGAAGTATAAACAAAGCATACATTAAAATCAGACCAAGTCTTTTGACCACCTCAGATTGATTAAGAGCTTTTGTGGTCTAAATAAGAATATATCAAAAATATATATTTTTCAAAACACATATAGCTTTACTTGATGTTTTTTTACAGGTTCATGGAAATTATAAACAAGTAGAAGAAAAAAATAGTTTAATGAGTAATATAACAAATGTATACTAAATATATTTATTTAATATATATAATATTTCCCAAATGATGTTTAGAGCGAGGAACTTTTCATAGCATGTATGATAATATTTTCCTCTAGAGAAAGTCTTATTTGTTTTATTTCGGCTAGAATAAAAGCAGTTTTAAATTTCTTTAAAAAAACATTTTAAGGTGATAATTATTAGCCCCTTTAAGCTATATATTTTTTCAATAGTCTAGAAACGTTATTCAATAACTTGACTAATTATCCTAACCTGCCTAGTCAATCTAATTAACCTGGTTAAGCCTTTAAATGTCACTTTAAGCTGTATAGAAGTGTCTTGAAAAATATCTAGTCAAATATTATTTACTGTCATGATGGCAAAGATAAAATAAATCAGTCATTAGAAATGAGTTATTAAAACTTTTATGTTTAGAAATGTGAGGAAGATATCTCTCCGTTAAACAGAAATTGTGGGAAAACAAAAATAAATGGGGGGCCTAATAATTCAGGGGGGCTAATAATTCTGACTTCAATTGTGTATGTGTGTGTATATATAAATTATATACTATAATATATAGAAGATATTTAATATATATATATATATATATATATATATATATATATATATATATATATATATATATATATATAATAAGATACAAAGCTGAAATATAATAAAATATTAACGTGTTGAAAATTTGTATTATTCATTATAAAATGAAAATAAAACAAAAATATTATGCTGGCAGATGACAAAAAAAAATTTATTAAAAACTTTTTAAAAACTTTTTTTTTGTTGGTGATCAATTTTTGTGTTTTGTTGTGCATCAATGCCATCTAAAATTACCAAAACTATTAAAAAAAAAAAGGAAAGAAATAAGACAAATCAAAAATCCTAATCCTTTAACTGAAATCACAATGAAATGTGAAAAATATTTAAAAAGATTTTTAATTCAAAATATTATTAAATACTATAATCGCATATATAACCTAAACTACCAACTCACAGCATAAAATTAGATCAGACAAAATTGTTTTCTATTGCCCCCTGGTGGACAGCTACATGTAACTATAGAGACAAGATTGGTTGCATGCATGTATTACTCACAGGCAGCTAACCATAATGTATGAATATAATTAGACTACTAGAGAAAAAAGTTATTATAGAGGATATACAGTAGAAGTCGGATTTATTTATTTTAACTTTTTTATATTTCCCAAATGATGTTTTAAAGAGGAAAGAAATCTTTACAGTGTGTCTGATATTTTTTTCAGTAGTCTACATAACCATTGTTATTCAGTAGCTTGCCTAATTATCCTAACCTGCTTAGTTAATCTAATTAACCTGGTTAAGCCTTTAAAATGTCACTTTGAGCTGTATAGAAGTGTCTTGAAAAATATCTAGTCAAATATTATTTACTGTCATTATGGCAAAGATAAAATAAATCAGTTATTATAGATGAATTATTAAAACTATTATGTTTAGAAATTAGTTTTAAAAAAAAAATCTTCTTTTCGTTAAACAGAAATTGGGGAATAAAATAAACAGGGGGGCTAATAATTCTGCCTTCGACTCTACATACACACACACTCAAATGCATTTAAAGCACTTACACACTGACCCTCACCTCTGTGCTTCCCAGTTTGTCCAGTTTTGTGTCTGGCTGTTGATCAGCAGTTTCCTGCCCTCCTCATAGTCATCCTGATCCACACTAACCAGCAGCCGAACACCCTCCTGCCCTGCTGCCCTTTTCAAGGAGTCCGTAATGAAGACCCCCTTCAGCGCCTCGAGTAGCGCCCCGCTCAGGTAATCCGCCCAGAAGGCGTCCAGGTTGGTGAGCTCAGAGAACTTGATGTCACACACAATAGAGCCCAGATCGCGAGTGCGGAGCAGCAAACTGGCCCGGCTGAACAGCTCAAACTGCCTCTCCAGCGGCTGCGGCTTGTCTGAGGAAACCCCTCCACGAAGAGCCGACTCATGCTCCGAATACTCCGCTCGCACCCGCAGTCGGATATCTGAGAGCCAAGAGCATGAAGGACACAGAGAGACAGAGGAGGTGGGAAGAAGGGTGGCATGCAGAGAAAATCGAGAAGATGTGGAGATTTTCAGGAGGGATAGAGAGAAACAAGAGATAGTGGTGGAGAAAAAGGGGAGAATAGTGACGCAGATCAGTGGGGGAGTCAAGAGGAGGGCAAAAAAGTACAGTGATAATGAGACTTATTGGTTTAAACCGAACATTTTGGTATAAAAAATAACTAAAGGATAGCAATGATTCACAGATTTGCTCCTAATATTAATTTCGTGTATTAAACCAGTATGCGCTCTTTTTGGTACGGCATCAGCTCTGAGATCTACTGGATATCTGAGGCCTCAATAATCTTTAACAGTGAGTCGATTGAGCGGGATTCTTCACTGGTAGTCAGTGAGGTTCTGAGTGAAACTTGCAGGCTAGTTCAGGTTTAGGAGTGAACTGATCTTCCGAATTGTTTGCAGGCACATGGGAACACATTGGTAAAGTTCAACATGTCTACTGATCGTAGCACTTGTAAATCACAGGTCACAAGGGTGTTGGGGAGATTTGGCCTTTCGGTAGGTTCAGGTGGACTGAAAGAACCTCAAGCTAAATTCCGGAGATGGCTCACATTGGAAGGTTCTACTTTCATATGTGCATCCCAATTCCAAAGAGGTCTTATTAATAGACGCATATATGCTGGTTGGCTTTACCAAACAGTGCAGGTAGAACTGATGTCATGCAACAGCACAGGGAACAGAGACGGCAAAATACGATTGGAGTATACATACTGAACCAGAGCTTCGCAGTGATGTCATTTCCTTTCATGTCATTAGCTCAGAGGAGGAAGTGGACCCATCAATCTTCCGAACATTGCTGCAACACAAATCCAACCTTTCTACAACCAAAGCTCCATCACAAACTCCACCGTTTTTGAAAGTTGGGAAGTTGACATGGTAGGTTATTATGAAAATAAAAACCAATCGGTCAGGTAGGTGACTAACTAAGACTCAGCTCCTTTATAAGGGGAAATAATATTACATTGCTTAAATGACTGAATAGTCTATGGACGGACAAGCTCGGCCCTGGAGGGCTGCTGTACTCTAGAGTTTGGCCACAACACTAACCAAACACAGCTTAGGCTAATCAGAATCGTCAAGAAAGCTACAAGCAAGTGTGATTGATTATTGGAGCTAAACTCTGCAGGACACCAGCCCTCCATGGCCGAGCTTGCCCATCTTTAGAACAGACTGTATTTATGAAGTATTTGTGAACAGTAGCGCTTTAGGGTAACACTTTATTTTAAGGTGCCCCTGTTACACACCTTCCTTGTACTTCTGAATTAATTTTGCATAATTATTTGCAATGAATCCTAAACCTAACCTGCATTCTAACACTATAACTTTTGCAAGTACATGCAGATAATTAATGTTACTTGGTATTAAAATGAGTAGTTACTGTAACAAGGACACTGTAAAATAAAGTTTAACCTAAAGTTATTAGTAAATTGACTGGAACTAAATACCTGACCATGAATATTCCCTTTGTTCTAGAATCAATAATGAATGTCTACAGTTCATATAAGAAATTAGCAAGTAAACATTGTCAATAATTACAAATACACCACCAAAGACTACGACTAAGTTTTTTTAAATTGTTTGTTTGTATCAATAATCAATACATGTATCAACAAGATAATAAAAACAAAATGTAAACATTTGTTCACTAAATTAGATTACTGAACTTATCTCCATTGAATAAGTAACAATGCCCCTATTGAAAAATTCTGGCGCAATTATAAATTACAATTTATTTTAAGCTGGAATAAACAATCAAATAAATGCAGTTTTGATGAAATAAAAAAACTCAGTTTTTTTTATTTATTCTAGTGCATGTAAAATGTAATGTGAGTCCATAAAGTTATACTAATGCTTTACCTATGTAATTTTTTTTACTAAAGTCTTATTAAACTGCACTGTAAAAATGCCTTAACATTTTTGTTAAATAAAACGATCTTCTCTAGTGATGTGAACTTACATCAGTCAAACTGACTAAAAATTAATTTAGTCAAACTTAAAACAATTAGTTGAAACTCAATTGACTTATAAAATAGTTAAACCAACATAAAAGCTTTTGTTGTGATGGCTTTCAGTCATAATATGTTTTACAGTGTAGACTCAATTTGGTGCATCTCAATCAGGTCCCTTGTTCAGTAGTCAGGGTACTAATCAATTTACAAGTCAATCATATTAAGGGCTGTCTCAATTCCATAATTCTTCCAGTGCACTGAAACATTTGCCCCCTTAAAAAAAGTCCTACAATGCACCATGAAAATCAGAAACCTTAACAGAAGTTCTGAAGCGGGAAACAGGAATAAACTCGTCGTTTTTTTTTTTTTTTTTTTAAAGAAACGGCTTTTCATTTATATTTAAACAAACAAACAAATAAGGTACAGAACAATCTAGTAAGCATTTATACTTAATTAATGATTGCTGGCATATGAACAACTGATTTAAAAATGTGCTGAAAATGTTTTTTTTAATTCACAATCAGTACCTCCAATGTGTAGTGAACCAACATCGGCCTTTTCCATTGTATTCATAACTGATTGAGAAGCACACTATGACTGTATTTTAGATCCACAATAAGCAAAGTTGTAGTTCACCCTCAAAGTAAAGATGTGCTATTATTTAAAGCACCTTATGGTGATTTATCTATCATAATGCTAATTATAATCCAAGCCAATGACTACCAAAAAATTTTGCCTAGATGATTTTTTTTTTTTTGATTTTGCATTTTAAAATGACAGTTGCCATTGAATATAGTTTTAACAAAAGAATCCTCGTTAATGTTGTACCATAGAAAAGACCCTTTCATTTTGGCTGTCGAAATGGTAAATTAAATAGACGATTCATTATTGGTGGGAAGCTAGCCCATGATGTGATATCTAACACGTTTAAGGGTAATACTGACACAACTAGCATGTTTAAATAAATGATTTGTAAATTTTTAAAGATTTGTGGCCAAAACCTTATAAGAACATATTAATATTGTATAGTTTTGAAAAGTTTCAAAGATCTTGGTGTGATCTTCTCCTGAACGTGCTCCCCAAAATAATCATCTGTAATGTAGGTGGTTGAAAGCAGACTCCAAACACAAAGCTTCTTCATTGTTCTTTTAAACAGCACACATTTACAGAACACTTTAGGTTTCATTGCACAGACATTGTCAGAGCTCCTCACGTACACTAATACAGGGCATTGGTTTCACTGATCGTAGCTTCAGAACACAGAAAGTATCCAATATTAAAAATACAGTGGCTTTTTTTTTTTTTGTGCGAATGTGTAATGCTCTCTTTGTTAGCATGTTTTTTTTTTTTGATCATTTGTTGCATCCCAGAGAACTTTCAAAAAGTAGCATGTATTCACAAATATTTCAGAATTTTGTAAATATGCTGCAAATACATGTTTCCTCAAAATAAACAAACAATAAATCAGTATTTTTATGAAACTCAAACAAATACGTTCTGCATCATTTTATGGGGTGTTGCTCCATGCGAAGAGCTTCCATTTTTATTTCGATCCCTCTTTTCTGCTGAACAAACCAAGATGGAGGGAGAGAAACGCGGGCAAAAAGCTGACCGACTGTACACATGGGTCAGAGTCGAGCTTTTCTTTTGACTTTTTTTTTTCTTTCATTCTCTCCCTCTCTTAGTATGTGAGGATGGCCAACTTGTTTTTGTTCCTGACACTTGTGTCAGTCTGTTTTTCAACTGTGGACATAGAGAAAGGAGAGGAAGAGAGAGAGAGAGAAACAAGCAGTTTTGGATGAACGTTGTTGCAACAGTTTCGCCATGTCTTATTTTTTTTGGTCAAGCAGGCAAAGTTCATATGCAGATTTACTTTTGTGTGTGTGTGTGTGTGTGTGTGTGTGTGTGTGTGTGTGTGTGTGTGTGAAAGCAAAGCAATTCTAATTCAGTTATAGTTCAAATCTCCAGAATGACTACTATTTTGATAAAACTACATCAAAAACTACATCAATTCTACAAAAAAGAAAGAAAACACTGGCAGAATTCAATGCAATACATTTAAGGGGCTATATGTAAAATTCACTAAAAACATGCGTTTCGGAAGCAAACTGTGAAAACTTATAGACCACTAAGCCCACACAGAATCTGTGCCTGCAGATTTTCGATCTTTAGATCATTCACTGTAAAAAAAAAAAAAAAATGCAGGGTTCCACACAAGTCAATCAGGTTGTTCAAACAAAAAAAAATTAACACTTTTAACAAATGTATGTAGATTGAACATAAAAAATTAAGTTGTCCAAACATAATCTCAAGAATCGTTTCAGCTCATTTTAAACAAGTAGTTTGAACAAGAATTTTTTTTTTTTTGTAAAGTTCAATCTATTTATTTACTGATGAAACGTGTTTTAAGGGAGCACTCGACCACTATTCAAGGTGCGTGGACAAAATGTGAATATCGTAAGAATGGGGAACTCCAGCAACACTTGCAATAAAAAAAAGCCATTTTAATGTCACGTTTAACACGTTTTTTGTTTTGTGCCCTGAGGAAGCCGCTTTAAAGCCGAAATGCGTTGGCATTTATTTAATTTAATTAAAGTTTATCCTTATGAAATGAGTGAAAATGCTTATTCTTTCAGTTTTGCATTCATTTTAGCAATATTATATTGAATAATCCACTTGTTGAGTGTGACGTCACACGAAGCAGCTTCTGGGTCCAAGCGCTCGATCAAACTGTATGGGGAGACTCAACAAATGGTGATAATCGCTTAAAAGTGATGCAATACTTTCAAAAATCACAATCGCAAAATATATATACAGTTGAAGTCAGAATTATTAGCCCCCCTTTAAATTTTTTTTTCCATCACACAGCGATGTGAAAACAGCAGTCTGAAAGTATGATTAGTGATATCTATATGTTTATATAAACTGAAATTCACAAGCATGATGTCAACATTTTAGTAGTCTGGCTATGTGAGACTATAGTTTGATTAGTGTTCTTATTAGTACTTTATCTTGCGTACAATCATTCCTTTCAAGTAGGGCTGCACGATATTGGAAAAAACTGACATTGCAATATTTTCATTCACTGCGATATATATTGCAATATAAATGCAATTTCACCAGATGATTTGAATAACTTGTAAAGAATAAATCATTTTAGATCGATTGAGATGAATCTGAATAAAATAGAATCAAAAAATGACAAGCAAAGTTAAATACCACAAACAAAAGGTGCAAATAAACAATGATTTATAATTTTCAGGGGAATTAAACAGCATTTAAATAAATCACTATATAATAATAATAATAATAATAATAATAAATCAAATAATTTCTTTAATATCAAGAAAGTTTCTCTTTTTTTAACTAAAGTCAACTTTAAAAATTTTAAATCACTTTAAAATCAATGGGTTGACTAACTTTTTAAAAGTAAAGTCAACTAAATGCTTTAAAAGGAACATGTTTATTCACCTTTTTTTAAAAGTAACGTCAACTAATCGCTTTAAAATCAATGGGTTTATTCACTTTTTAAAAGTAAAGTCAACTAAATCACATAAAAATCAATTGGTTTATTCACTTAAAAAAATAAATAAAGTCAGCTAATCGCTGTTAAATCAATGAGTTTACTTACTTTTCAAAAATAAAGTCAATTAATCTCTTTTAAATCACTGGGCTCTAATTTGACGATCTTGGCGCAATGTCCAGAGGGCAGGCGCAAAAGCATTAGGGGCGTGTCAGAATCCACGTTTGCAATTTCAAGGACGGGAAAATCTGCTTTGCGCCGTGGCGCATGGTCTAACAGGGTTGAGCTTATTCTCTTAATGAGTTATGGGTGTGTTTTGAGCACAAACCAATCAAAATCTCATCTTCAAAGTCTTATCTTGATTTAAAGTCAATGGGTTTACTCAATTTAAGTAAAGTCAACTAATTGCTTCAAAAGAAAAGTTTACTCACCTTTTTTAAAAGTAAAGTATTATTATAACACTGCATTGTTTCGAGTAAATAACTGTATAATGTAGAATTCATCTTTAAGCTAAAATGTTATATTTTATTGTGCCCAAATGGCTTAAATTGGCTCTAATTATTTCTTTCACAGGCATTACATGCACGTGCAAATCATACAAATTCACTTTTAGGGTAAAATTTGAAATTACTCCAGTTAATGTTGTTAACTATAATGTCTGGTCAACTATAATCCAGACTACATTGCAGATCCCTGCAATGTGACTATTGCAGACTCGCACATTCCAATATGGATGCTAAAACGATATATTGTGCAGCCCTACTTTCAAGTGCCACTGAAATGAAAAGAGGCCTCCAGGACCAAGTAAACAAACCAATCAAATATTTTCGATTTTCTTAAATCAACTTTTCACATCAATTCACAATTTTCACAAAATCAGTCTACAAGCTCTAATAGGGAAACTTTGAAGTCAGGTAAGATCTTGCTTTCTACTTTTAATTACAAGACGTTCACCCGTTTGCAAATACTAATATTCAATTCAATTCAATTCAGCTTTATTTGTATAGCGCTTTTAAAATGTAGATTGTGTCAAAGCAGCTTCACATAAATGGTCATAGTAAATGGAACAGTGTAGTTCAGTTTTTAGTGTTTAAGTTCAGTTCAGTTCAGTTTAGCTCAGTTCAGTGTGATATAATCATTACTGAGAGTTCAAACACTGAAGAGCAAATACATCGATGCGTAGCTCTACCAATCCTGAACCATGCGAGCCAGTGGCGACAGTACACGATGGCGATAATACATTAAAAATGATACATATAGCCCCTTAAAGCTAGCCATTACATTTAAGTGAAAGTTTAAATGCTGTAAACACATACAAAACACTGGAATGGGTCTAAACAAGAACTGTTGGGTCATTTTCCTCAGAACTGCTCCAGCAAAAGATCACAGAGGCTCTTTATCTTTTCTTTTTCAGGACAAATCATTGCAAAACTGAGCTTTAGGGCTGAGTTTGGTCAACGACTGTAGAATGGCTTGTTTTTGAGCAAAGTCTGAGCTGGACGTTGAGTCATGTCACGCAATGCAATCTTGTTTTATTACAGACAAATTGTCAGGACGAATCCAATGGACTTCCAGAAATTTTTTCGTGAGTCAGTTCTGTGAAACACTGAGGCCAACAACCCCTCCAGAGAGGATTTTGTTCCTATTTTTCCCCAACTCTAGCTTAAAGTTCAGCACATGTAACTGGGGAAGTGGACAGTAACATTTGCAAACTGACATTTGAACACAGAGTATTAGACTGACCCCTCCTCCTATGCGAGTTAGGAAGGGGGTTCTTTACCTTAGGACATGGACCAGGCGTGCGTGACTTAAAGCACACACACATGTCTTGACTGTGCGCGATCGGACAGAGCGGACAGCATACACTTGTTACTGTTGTGAGCTCTGTCTTTTTCACTCTATCCATTCTCCTGCTTTTTCTATTGAATCTTGAGCCAACCTGCCAAGATCAAATGCGGAGTCAACACAGCAAACAGCATGTTCAGCTACTTCAGGAGTAAAACAAAGGTGAAAGGTCAACAAGGTCAATCATGGCACAGCAGGACTGTAATGTTGAAAGTGGACTGAGAGAATCAGATAGCTCAAAGGACAGTGTTCAAATATACATGTAACCATTTGAGATTTATGGGAAGCTCACAATGCAGTGTTACCTCATGTTCGAGGGACAGGAAGTAAGTTATGGCACAAGGGAGTTTCATCTCACAAACAAAAGGTCAATGCAGAGAGTAGATTAGCTTTGGCTGCATCAAAGCTCAGTTACAGAGGGAAAAGGATCAATGCTTTAAATAAGAAGCCGAGAGACAATAATCAGTGTTTTACTGGATATGAGACTCAGTGCCCCGATATTCAATAATCGTTTTAAAGACATTTCATTCAGACACACCACAGGAGTTAATCACACAGAAAACTGCTTATCCAAAGAATAATGAAAGGAATGGAAATAGGGACAGAGAAGTTGATGGAAAATGTGAGCAAAGAATGTGAGTGTATTTTCCAAAAATCGAACCATGAAGGAAGCAGGGGATTTGAAGCAATTCTAAAGCACACTTGAAACACCTATGCACATACATGATGAACAAAATTAAAATACACTTTTGTCAGGTTAGATGCCATATTAAATTGAGCGTGGTTGAACAGGAGGCTGTGAGGGATGTATTACAGTCTTAACCGTGGCACTCACAAAGTACAAGCTTCTCAGTATAATCGATTGAACTTCTTGCCCTTACAGCCTTATTTTCATTCCTGTCAACAAAATAAATATGCCAACCACTCTGACTAACATGATGTCCTAACCAGACGTGACATTATAAGCAGTCTTTTCCACGTTTATAAGTGTTTTTGTTACACTAGCAGCCAGAAACTTACAGTTGAAAGTAATGCATTATAATATTGAGTTACTCTCACCAAAAAGGTATGCAAGTTACTTAGTTACTCTTTATGGCAAGTAATGTCTTACCTTACTTTCGCATTACTTTTTCTTACCTGAATGAGGCTTGATTCTTTCCTTTTTTCAATTTATGTTTATTTCTATTGCGCTTTCACAATGTAGATTGTGTCAAAGCAGCTTAACATAAAAGTTCTAGTAAACTGAAACTGTGTCAGTCCAGTTTTCAGAGTCAAAGTTCAGTTTAGTTCATTTCATAGTGGTTTATTTTTCACTGCTGAAAGTCCGAACACTAATGAAACTCCCATTCTGCCCAATTATCCCTTCTTCCAGAGTCGTTAATGTCTTTAAAACATCGTTTAATGCTTTGCACAAATCTGTTTACATGTATACTTCAATTCGAGCGGCCAAGCGGTTCACAATTTGATCTCCTTCAGAACTTTCAGGGTTTATTTCTTTGTTTGGTAACTTTATTTTGATGGTCCATTTGAGTATTAGTAGACTGTCTGCTTCATATCCATTGATACTGCTCCCTAAACAGACATTTAACTGACTATAAGAAACTTTGCAAGTACATGTCAACTTACACTAACCCTAACGTCAAACCCCAACCTAACAGTCTACTTATAATCTAATGAATTAGTTTTAATGAATTAGAATCAGTTGGCATGTAGATGCAATGTAACTTAATTCAACAAATGGACCATCAAAATGAAGTGAGACCCTTTGTTTTTTTTATAATAAATGAGAATATTATTACTTACAGGGCGACATGGTGGCACAGTGGGTAGCACGATTGCCTCACAGCAAAAAGGTTTATGTGTGAAGTTTGCATGTTCTCTTTATGTTTGTGTTGGTTTCCTCCGGGTGCTCCGGTTTCCCCCACAGTCCAAAGACATGCGGGACAGATGAATTGAATGAGCTAAATTGGCCGTGGGGGTGTGGTGTATGCGTGAATGTCAGTGTATGGGTGTTTCCCAGTGTTGCGTTGTGACTAATAAAAACATATGCTGTGGCACCCCTTGATGAATAAAGGGACTAAGCCGAAAAGAAAATGAATGAATGAATGAATGAAAAAGTTTGTAATTTCATATTATGCTCTGTTGTTCATTTTAAAGCATCGCAAAATAAATAGTTTACAGTAATACTTTTTTTTACATTTTTTTAATTTTTACATGGTGAGAGAGACACTACAATGTTTACCTTTTGTATTTTATTTGCCATTATTTTATCTGTAAACATTAGATTTCGAGAAGTTAGATATCTAAATTTTTTATCAAATATTTCCAGTAAATTTAAAAATAAAGTGAGGGAAAAAAAATCACATTTAAATGAGTACATTTAAGTACTCTGAAAAGAATGTACTTTAAAAATAAATGGTTCTTATATAAGGACCTTTTTTAAAGTATAATTTTATATAATTTATTGAATTCATGTCTGGTTAGAACAAGATACAAGGTCTGTTAGGTTCAAATACATAACCTTAACAATACGGCATAGTTTCTGATGAGAAAGAAAGAGGTTTACCAGTATGGACTATTTTGCTGCACCAAATTAGTGCATTACTTCTGACTGATAAGGGCATCTGCTACTGGGATGATAAGTGCTGTACATATATATAATTAAAAAAAAAACTATGGATAAAACCATTAAAACTTTGGGTTTCCTTGTAGCCTTCAGCAAAAGCTAAATGCTTTAGCAGGAGACATGAATGTGAAAGAAAAAAGCAGTTTATATTGAGTGTTTATGAGACCCTGCAGCACTTTTTAATGAGGAACATTATCAAAGCCATGCAGTCTTTGTACAAGCAGATATTACTGGTCAATAAGCTTCTATTACAACAGATTAAAAGCATCAAAGAGCATGTTTAGAGCCTAATCTTTGTAAGAAAAAAAAAATTTATAATGACACCTTCCCATAGTGTGGAAACATGAGGAAGCCTGTGTTTTTTAAGACATTAGCATGGTATCACTGATCTTAAAAGATGAAACCGTCCTCAGATTTTTGCAGTTTGTAATTATATATTTGTTAATGTTTGGACAATGTGAGGGTAAATGCCAGGATCATGCTAGTAATATTGTGAAAAAATACATACATAAACATTTTTAAAAATGAGAATCTATTTTGTGTTTAAAAACATATTTCAAAATTTTAAGCACACCAGAAGATGCACTCCATAACCAAAAATGAAAAAGGCTGAAAAGTAAGCAAGGTCATGCAGATTAAGGGTGCGTTCACGCTTTTAGTATGGTTCTGCTGGTTCTTTGATCCAGACAAAAAAATAAAACTATGCATTTAGTTCTGGTTGGTTGAGTGTTCACATTAGCATTTTTAAAAACATTCCTATAGACACAAAACCTGGTGGCATAAAGTTTAATGAACCTTATTCATTTTAATATATTTATAACTTTATGTAATTGGTAGCATCACAAATGTAAAAATATTGTAAGCTTGATTAAACATCCTCACTTTTAGTGTGCATATAGTACGCAAATATTTTAATCCCATTTTGATTCACATTTCAGTTGAACAGCACCAGAGTACATTAAGAATCTTTCTGCTTGTTTGGTGCACACCAACGTTTGCATGGCAGGTAGGGATGAAACGATCAAGCGATTTCACTATTAACTGCACTTTACTTCGTCGTGGTTAATTAATCCTAAATGCTTCAACACCTGATTTCTAAAACTGCTGCAACTTAACAAAGCTACACTAACGGTGCACTACTTCACATGTCGTGTCTTTTGTTCGCACAAGTTTGTTATTTCTAGCGAGCATAATGGGAGTGATGTGCATGCTGCAAGACGCATTCATGCTTTCCAGGCGCACCTAGTTGAAAGATTGGTGCAATCGCACCACGAGTCACATGACAAGAACTGATCAATCAGCTTCATACTTTGTATGGAATATACACATTTCTACTCCAAAGAGAAAAAAATTACAAAAAAAAAAAAAAAAAACGAACAATTTTGTAATGTAGTTGATCTAAAGTGCATTTCAGACAGAGGTTCAGCAGCCTTCGACTGCATTTGTTTTCTTTAATAGGCAAATATTTAGCTAATATGATGCTTAGATTTACATTAGACAAATATTTTTTTTTTAATTCTCATTTTTGTTTGTTTGTTTATTCACTGGTTTGTCATTTATTTTCAGTGTAAAATTATTACTCATGTTTAAATGGCAAAAACGTTTCTCATCGCTGCGACACGGAGGTAACAGTCGGAGGTATCACACATCAGACACGCACATTCGCATGCTATTTAAAATGAAAACTATTCAGATGCCTCTCGTTGGCGTGGCAGAACAGTGTCCTGAGTCATAGCTGGGCGCAGCGGACAGCCGCCGAATTGCATCCGGTGTGCGATCCTCTATAGACTATTTAGACTTTTTTATTATTATTTTGTGGTGTATTAACTTGTTACTGAGCAGCAATAAATAATACTTTAAAATAAGGAGTTTTTTAATGATTTTTTTAAACTAGTAGTGTTTTGAAATACATAAATGCATAATATTCCTGATTATTCCTTTGACTATAATCGTACAACCAAAATCTATAATTGTTGCATCCCTAATGGCAGGGTTCAAATTTATACAAATAACCAGCACTAACAAAGATCATTTTAATCATTAAGTCTGAACAGACCCTAACAAATTATTGCAAAAACTAATAAATTATTGCACAATTGCAGTGAACTCGAGTATGCGTATTAAATGTCAATGACATTTGGCTCCCACTAGGCTGTTACACAAGAACCTGACAGATTTTTATACTTGAAAGCAAATTGGAGCATGAGCTAAACTGGGCCCATTGGTATGTTGAGATTTGAATGTCCTAGAAAAACAGTTTTGGTAGAAAATATAACTTGCATGTAACCATTTTTCTTGACAAACTGTTCTGGCAAATTTGTGAACTTTTTTTTTGGTATTTCCTTACCTACTGTGCCATTATTGCCACTCAGTGTGCCTCACGTGCTCAGTTCTGAAGAGATTTTTAACAATGCCCTGTTGGCAGGACAGCTCCCATCTAGCAAAAGCATAAAGAGGCTTGGGTGTGAGCAGCCTTTGAGTCCAGTCAGAATGAAACTCAAAGTGATAACAGTGCAGAGTGCAGGGAATTCACAAAGGGATGAATGGAGATGACATGAACGTATTGTGTGACAGTTTGACACTGTCGTTCTGTAAGCATTAGAGGTTCAAGCACTAATGAATGAGTGACTGATTAATCAAACTCGAGAAATGAAGCATTGAGGTTCACTCTTCATCTGTAGAGCAATTTATATATGAAATCAAATAAAAGGAGAGAGAAGTAGCAAGGCAAAACGATTCACATGTTCAAAGGATGCTGTTAAATGAGACTACATGACAGAAGAAAACAGAAAGACAGTGCTCTTACCGCACGTCACTTTGTTGGGTGTTGACTGAGGCTGGATTTCAGGCGGCCCTCTTGATTTCCTGCTCCAGTGGTGACCTCTTCCTCGCTTTCTTCGATTGCTGGAGGCTGATGTCATTGAAGAGCCAGAACCTGACACCGAAAACACTAATTATCAACACTGGCAAAAGCAATTTATAAACAAGTAGAGGTGGCTAATTTTTAAGACTACTTTTAAATAAATGAAAATAAATATAGTAAACTATATAATCAAAAAGACTGAGTCATTTGGCTAGCCTTGTTAGCCTTTTAAAGTCAAGTGCTATTTTGCGGTTTCCGCCTGGATTTTGCCTACACAAATTAAAAAGCTTCCCAAATCCACATGCAGAGGTGTAAATGCAAAAGTCTGGTCTCATTATAAAGAAAAGCCTTTTCAATTTTCATAAAACACTTTTGAATGTGATTAAAATAATTGTATGTGTTATAATTGTATGCGTATTGTCTCGGTTATAATAAACCCCTCTAATAAAGAGGCGCTTTTTTTCTTTTGTAAACTCAAATTTGCAAGTGTACCTTTTTCTGGGTTCTGGGTGGTCTGGGTTGCTGTAATTAGTTTTTGGTGGGTTCTGCACATGCCAGAAATCATAGGTAAAAAGAAAAATGTCTCTATCATAATCTATGCAAAAGTTATTCTATTCCAACTGATGAGAGAACAGAATCACTTATGGAGGTTTTGGGGCAGTACAGACATTTAAAATGTAAAGAATGCAGAAGTGAATGATGTCAGGGACCAGGTACTGTGTCCTATAGTTTAGGAGGTTAAAGCGATGTTGATTTAAAGTCTTTAAAATGTACAATTACTAAATTTATTTTGTTAGCTCATATTGCTATTCTTGAGGTGAACAGTCTATGTATCAAACAAAAAATATTTTCTTTAACAAACTATTTTCTTTTCATTTCAAAACAGTAATGACATATTAAAAACAAAAACAGTAAATTAAAGTAATGTGACTGACAAAACTGTGAAAACAAAATGGTAATCCAACCAGTACACTCCTCAATTAGATGCAAGCAGCAAACATAATTCATTCAGTTTATTACTGTGAATCAAACTGCAATTGTCAGTGAAATTATGAAAAATGTAACTAAATGATTTGCGTCACCACCTAAAAATGTTCACAAGTCTTCACGTTATTTTTTGTAAATTAAAATATTTGAACACCACAATGAGTTGTTGCTGGATTGAGGCATATAAATAAACTAAAATATTATTCTTTAATAGTTTCAATTTGTGTACAAAAATGTGTAATATATGCTTTCAATTAAACATTTGAGTCAACTCACCAACAGTGGATGCCTGGTTATTATATTACAATAAATAACATTAAATTTTGGGCCAAAAAAACAAAAATTCTGCATGAATTTGCTCCAAAACCAACATTGTAAATGATTTCTTACAATTAATGTAATAAATAATATAAAATAATTTTGTAAACAAGAAGTAAATATAAATGGCATTTTAACAGCACTGCCATGACAGCCCAGTGGCGTTATAGCAAACAGGAACAAGTATATTTTTATAGAAATATCCAGCTCCAAGTTATTTCAGTGGACTTTGCTTTACGATTAGTAGATGCGGTTCATGCAAACAAATTTTTATTAGTACATAAGCAAATTATCAACAAAGTGATACATTGAGCTGTTTTTTTTTTACTCTGCAATGGTAAGCCATGGAAATCAAAGGGATAGTTCACCCAATAATGACAATTCTGTTATCGTTTACTCTCCTCTGACTAGTTCCAAACCAATTTGAGTTTATTCTTGCTCTGTTGAACACAAAATAATATACATTGACACATTACATTATATTTTTATTACATTGAAGAATGTTGAAAACATGTAGCTGTTGACATCCAAAGTAGGAAAAACAAATACTTTAGAAGACAATGGTCACATTTTTTCAAACATTCTTCTTTATAAAGTATCCTCTTTTGTTTTTAAGAGAAAAAAACTGGTTTAGATTAAGTAAAGGGTGAATAAATCTTTTTTTTTTTTTTTTTGAGTAAATCAACTATACTCTTTAATGGAATTCATAGTGCAGTGCTTTCCGCATCCGGTCTGAAAGCTGCTTCACACTCAATGACTAGGCCTAGAGGTAGAGTGAAAGCAGTGTGGTAAACACCGCACACAGTATTGCTCTTTTTGTGGCTTTTACATTTGTTTGTATTTCTATTTTGACCAAAAAACTGAAAATGCAATTTTCAGCCAATAATAATCACCGCATGAAAATGTGGTGCATCCCTACTATATTATATGATCAGAAATGCTAAAAAAAAAATGGGACTGGGCTGATAAACGATACCATATCGAAATTGCGATATAATTTATGTTGATAATGATGATAAGCTATGGAAATGTTTCTTCTCGATATTGACCTAAGAGCCAATCACAGAGCAGACTTATGCAACAACAGGAATCTGTGTTGATACTAGAGATATGCTATGTCAACCAGTATTATTTAGCGAGCTCGATTCACTTTCCCGCCAGCTGTTTTTGCTGTTAAACTGTTGTGTATTTTAATGATTACTGTTTTTACCATTTTTAATCAAGTAAAACATTTATTTAAAAATGTTTCTGTAATTGTTTATTTTTAGACAATGCAATAAGTATATGTTTGTTTGTGTACTGTATATATGCTGTCAGTTACAGTTCTTCAGGAATGTTATATTTTATATTGTATATCATAAGTATATCACAGAAAATCGGAATCTCCAAAATAGAGTAATGTGTAAACTGTTTTTGTTAATAAACAATACTTTAAATTTTATTCAATGAAGCGTCTAATCTTTGTGGCTTCAGTCATTGTTGAGATACTTTTTTAAAGCTGGAAGCATTACCAACTTATATCAAAATTTATATCGTTATCGTTCAATATGGAAAAAAATGATCGAGATTGCATTTTTAGACATATCACACAGACCTATATAGAAATAAACAAAAATTCTAACAAATAAAGCAAAAAAGAAAACAGTAAATGACTGTGCTCAGCCTTTTTTGTCTTCAGTCTCTGCTCACCAGCTCTCCAATGATGATCTTGTGTGTTTTCAAAAGATGGTATATTTGTGTTTGAGCCCACTTCTCTGTCTTGTCTAAAATCCACCTCTGGATAGTCTATCTTCTGTCGTTCTGGAGAAACTAAAAGAAAAGATAGCACATCAGTACCTTATAGAAAAATTACATCATACCATCTCAATATCAATAGCTTCATCACATCAATGTCATCATACATCAAGAATCTAAAAAACAATGACAAAATTCAAATGTAGTTTTAAAGCTGATGCTCACCGGTTCTTCTTTTCTTTTGTGAGACAAAAGGCAGGACATCATGTCGGGTCAGAATCCGCAGCAACTGAAGTAGAGGTCTTAGATTTGCATCGCTCAAGTACCCTCGTCTTTCCAGCTCTAACAGCAGTTCGACGCCACTCTTGGGTCGGTGGCGACTGGCGATAGAACATCCCTCCTTCTGCGGCTGCATTCTTTGCCATGACTTCAGAAGCCGAGGACACGGAGTATTAGCCTGTGGAGATCCATCAGGTCCTGGAGGCAGATCTTCAGTCCACCCCTCTGGATCAAGAGGATGTTTACCAGGATAAGTTTCGTCGAGGAGAAAGGACAGAACTTCCACATCAGTCTCTGTGAGTTGAGAACCCACGATTTCAAAGATCTCATGGAGTGAAAGCGTCTCGTAGTAGCTCAGGCACTCAGTCTCCTCCCAGTACAGGGAATATCTTGAGCATTTCACTGAAGACATGGTCCCTCTAAATGTTCAAATCTGTGTGGTAAAGAAGAAGTATGTTACATTTTAAAGAAGATTACATTTTAAAATGCTCATGGTCAGATTACAGATACTCTTTAGCAGATTACATAATTACAAATAATGCACAAAATCGTCACCTTAGAATTATAAGGTTCTATCTGAATGATTCTGAGATATTGAGCTTCAAATCTTTTGTATTTTTTATAGCAAACAGTATGTGTGTAACATGTTTTTTAAATAAAAAGTTTTAAAATGTAAACAACTTATAAAAAAAACATCCCATAATGTACATAAGTTGTCATTTAATAGGAATATGTCCAAAACTCAATTTTGACAAAACTGTCAGATAGAACCATATAATTCTAAGGTGATGAAATGGCTTTTTGGCTATAAATTATAATTTACTGACTCTCCCTTATTCTTCAGCTATTTAAATAGTTAGATACTAGTGTGTATGATAATGAGTAGCTCTAATTATTCCCAATATATTGAAGAGCCAAATCAGTTGTAAATGTAAATGTTTAACTTTTTGGGCAGATGTGTTTATCCAAAGCTCCAGTTATTTAAATTTGTATAAATATGTGATGTTCACAGTTTCTGATGTCAATTATGGTTAAGCAAATAAATAAAATTACTTACGTTTTATTTACCTACAAACTAGATTAATTTAGTTTAATACTTGAATAATGTTACTATAAAAAAACAATGCATTTCTTTGTGTTTATATAAAAAAAACTTTATTTCCATTTTGTTTTAGTTATATAAAACTCTAATTCAATTGTACTACATGTTTTAAACAGGTTAGATTATAAATCTGTAAGCTATCCAAATAAAATCCATAAACAACACTTTTTTAGATTTAATCTGTAAATTAATCCGTAACAAACTATAGTTTGTCGATAATCACTCAACACTATTTACATATAAAAATATTACATAAAGATAAGCTTAATAACACGTAAAATAAAATCCGCTAATTGGCTGTCTTTCAAACATGCAAAGTAACGTTATTTGTAAGAGCGTTTCAACAGTCTCGACAAAAACAGATGTTAGCCTCCGAGCTAGTTGTCAGCCTCGACTGCGAACTAAAATACAGTCTATGCAACATTCAAATACAGCTTATTGTCTTTTTCTCTTTTTTTTGTCAGAACAAAACCAACAGTATATAAACATATTTACACGGTCGTAGAAGATTCAGCGAAGTTATTTTGTTTTGAACAGAGCTTTTGTTGTGGTCCGCCCTCAGTCCGTCAGCTCAGCAGCTCCAAATGTTGACGTCAGACGTTTCTCTCAGGCACACGCAGCGTCACGTGCACTCCTTATGTAACGTCACGTTTAAGGTGAGGAAGCTGACGCCGAGCAGCTGAAAAAAACAACAAAACCTACTAAAATTATATGCACGAATTATTTCGTTATTAGACTTACTGTAGATAGTTTGTGTTTGATGCATCAGCGTAGCTAACCCTGCAACTGACTAGATTTTCCTTGAGCTGACCTGACATCACACTGCACCAAACACTCGATGTTAAAAGACTTCGATGTTGTTGCATTCCAAATACAGCACATTAGTGGGTTTGTTTTCAACACTATGATATATTAGTCTAGTGTTCTTGCTAAAATAAAATTAAACTAGCAGCGAGATACTTCAATCTAAATAGTTTCGATCATACAGGTTTCGATATGTTACTGTAAGAATAAAATGTGCGTATTTTCTGTAGTCCATGAAATCTTACCTGACACAAAGGGTTTTTGATGTATTAACACTCAAGAATTCGACGAAATTCACCCACCAGTCAAATGGAAAACAACAGTCGGGTGCCAGTGAGTTTTGTGGACTGATCTCTGCACAACCGCAGATCGCCAAAGGTCTTCTAGAAAGAAGGTTCCGGGAAGGTCACTTGAATATGCTTTGTAGATCGAGTCTCCAAGCTCGTTAAATGGTATCCGCAGAAATTCGCCATATTGGTGAGGGAAAATTAAATAAATTTGAAGGAAAACTCTTTCGAGACGTTGTTTTTGTTATTGTTATAAAGTGATATAGCCAAAATGGGCCATCCAAAGGTGAAGTGTCTTGTCTCTTCAAAAGGTAACAGCCAATGACTGCAAAGAATTTCAAACTGTCGCCATAACATTACTTGACAACATTTAGCAAATTAATTTATTAGTCGAAGGTTGCTAAGTGGGGAGGGGCAATATTCTGAGACCAAAGGCAAAGTGAGTTGACTGACATGTGCAATATTACTTTTCAATAATATCAATAATAAAAAAATAAAAACAAACGCACATTTAGAATAGTGATTCAGAAAAGCTGATTAGCTGGCCCATTTACCTGAACACTGCAATTTAAAAAAATGTGTCAGCTTACAATTATTTTATTATCAGTTGAACACACAAAATGTTAAAAACAGTATTTATTAATGACAGGAATGTGGTTTAATATAATATTAATTATAATTAATAGAATGGGGTTTATATTATTAGTTTTCCATGCAATTTACCAAAAACATGGCCAAAAATGCCCGATGTCACCCTTTATGCAAACTACACTTAATTTCTGTGGTTTATTTCCGCTACATTTCTTGGTTCATTAGTTCATTTATTTATTTATTCATTAATAGGCTTCTAACAAGCTTGTGAAACCAGGTTTTTCCATTTTTTCCCCAAAACATGGCAGTGTGTAATTTATGCTTTAAACAAAAAGCAGAGTTCTGTTCACAGACCTTGACTCCTGAAATACAAACTCCAAAAATCATAAATTATCATACCAGCATACATGGATAACATGGACCCAGACATTCCCATAACATCCTCACATGCTGATTTAGTTTCTGGTTAGTAATTTAGGACAACCAAATAAGAACAATAAAATAAGGATGTCCTCTATATTACAAAAAAGTGGTAAAGAAAGAAAGAAAGAAAGAAAGACCAAACCAGCAGGGAATAAGGCAATGTTTTGAATATTCACAGCTTTCTCTTGATATCCACAATTTAGTTTTTCTAGTTAAAATGATAATTATTGATAGGGATTTAGATTTCTACTATATTAGCTATTCTGCCCTTACTCTGGTGTCTCTCTTCCTAAAGTTAAACAGACAGATAAACTCTAAAGCAGATAATGCTGCTTTATTCCATGCCACAATTAATTAATTAATTAATGCATACAGTGAGCTATAGATATGTACATAACATTAATATCTACATTGAAATATATATACAAACAGAAAATAAACTTAATGCTTCCACAGGTGATCGCAGGATGAGTGATCCAATTAATCTCAATTCAATTCATCTTTATTTCTATAGCGTTTTTACAATGTAGATTGAGTCAAAGCAGCTCAACATAGAAGATTATAGTAAATTGAAACTGTGTCAGTCCATTGATGCGCAGCTCCACAAGTCCCGAACCATGCAAACCAAGGGCGACAGTGGCAAGGAACAAACTTTACCAATTGCCGAAAGTGAAAGAAAAAACCCTTAAGAGAAACCAGGCTCGGTTGGACACAACCTTTTCTCCTCTGGCCAAACTTCTTGCGCAGAACTGCAATCTAAGCATCTGACGCTGGAGAGCGCTGGACGTCCATCGTGGAGAAGCTGCAGGTGGGAGAGGTCACCAGCTGGTGTGCAGACTGACTCTTCAGGATCAACGAGGAAGACTCATCTGTCACTGGGGTCTTACAGGAATCAGTCTCATGCTCTCCACTCCTCCATGACCTCCACAGCAGCTGCTCAGGATACAGCCTGGTCCAGGATTATGGAAATCTCGGGAATAATAGAAACAGACTAACATATTTGATGTTCAAATTGTAATTTACTTTGGGAAGTGTTCCCAGCTTCAGCTGCCCTAAGTAATGCAGACTAACAATACTGTGGAGGATTTGGATTTCAAAAGCATTTGTGTTTTATATGTATGCTAATGCATAGAGATGTGTATTTATTCTAGTTTTAAACTGACAGAGGCATAACAGTAATGATGTTACTTCTCTGAGAAATAAAGTTAATTACCAGTTCTCCACTAGTTGTTACCATAGGCTGCCATTTTTAAATCAATACTTGATTTCTCACTATTTAAATTCCATTTTCACATATCAGTAACAGTAGCTGGTAAAACCTTTTTTTTTTTTTTCAATAATTACATGGTCACTAATGATAATCTTTATTCCAGTATAGGCCCACTGAATATCAAGAATTCAGATATCACTGAAATGGTATTTGCTGATATGTGTGAATGTATCTCAGCTTGATGCATTTAGGAATTTCTAATATTGATAACAATAATTAATTTCCTATATCTAAAATAACTTTTTCTTTTGCTATTACCAATCACACTGTGCCTACACTACCTGACAAAAGTCTTGTCGTCGATCCCTGCTGTAAGAGCAACAAATGATAACGTGACTTCTAGTTGATCATTTGGAAAAGTGGCAGAAGGTAAATTTTTTTGGATTAATCATGTTGAGCTGCATCCCAATCATCACACATACTGCTGACCTATTGGAACCCTCATGGACCCAAGATTCTCACAGAAATCAGTCAAGTTTGGTGAAGGAAAAAATATGATTTGTGTTTACATTCATTCAACATCAACAGCCTGAGATATCAAGACATTTGCTGCCCTTTTCATTACATATCACAGGAGAGGGCAAATTCTTCAGCCGGATCACGCTCCTTCTCATACTTCAGCCTCCACATCAAAGTTCCTGCAAGCAAAGGTCAAAGTGCTCCAGTATTGGCCAGCCCAATCACCAGACATAAAAGTTATTGAGCATGTCTGGGGTAAGATGGAGGCGAAGGCATTGAAGATGAATTCAAAGAATCTTGATGAACTCTGGGAGTCCTGCAGGAACACTGTTTTTGCCATTCCAGATGACTTTATTAATAAGTGATTTGAGTCATTGCAGAGATGTATGGATGCAGCCCTCCAAGCTCATGGGAGTCATGCACAATATTAATTATTTTTCCACTGCACCATGACTTTATATTCTATACTGTACATTATTTCTGTTAAGTCTTTTGTGTTAGCAAAGTCAGGCCTTACTATCCTCATTAAATAATAAAAAATCAAGGCATAATCGTATTTTATTTTGGTAAAAGAAGCGTACACTAGAGGCCTTTGCCTTTCAGCCACTGATACCAATTCATCAACTAAGTCAAGTTATTTGTTGTTCCTAAAACTTGGATAGGCCACAAGGTTTTTGGCAGTGTGTATTGGAAAAGAACAGAAATCCAATTCCTGAAATTAATAGCATTTAGCTAGAAAAAAGTATTTATTGACATCACATATTTATAATGCTGCAAATGAATGTCAACCCAGCTATACAATGTTCATTGCTAGGTATGTCTGTTCTTGAATAATAAAATATATTATATATTATCAAGGGCTGATTTAGTGATTTTGGGGCCATAAACAATTCCAGCCAAGGGGCCCAAAAGTTCTAGAATGCATCTTTTGTACTTGAATTTTTTAAAATTATTTTCCTATTTTTTAGTTTTGCTGTTTTTTTTCTTATATCATTAAACCTCATTTTCTATATTTTATCTTAATGCAAAATAATAGTTATAACATGTAAAGGACATTGTATCCATTTAAAAAAAAATTTAGGTGCCTGCCCTGTATGCTGATCCGTGTCACTAGGAGGCAGTCGCAAGTTTGACTCGTGGTTAACTTATGTCAACAGAAGAAGATCGTCACTGCTGTTTGCGAACCACATCATATCCGCTGCACATCAACACAGTCAACACATCTACACAAAGTGCTGTGAGTATGATTGTTACTTTAAGGTTTACTCCCATTTTAAAGCACAATTCTAGAAATATTTCGTCTCACTGTCTGTCGATTTCTCTATGTTACTAACGTTACTTATTGATCTCGAAGTTAAGGGGTATCGATAGATATTTTGAGAAAGAACGCTTGCTTCTGTCTGTAACGGATTTGATAAACAAACTTTATGGATTATGTTTTGTGACATACCAAATAAGAAAACGTTGTTTATTGTCTGACTGTAATAATTTATTATGTTTTGAGGCACATCTGACGTAATGCAGCAGCTTAACAAACTTGCTCCACCGGATTGTTTCTCTTCTTGAACGCAGAGTTTCAGTTGCAGCCCATGAGTGACATCATTTTTCCAGTAACGTCATTGAACACGTTCATAACTTACCATAACTTGGAAAGTGAGCTTCATAGATTAAGTGAAGACATACAGAGGCAGTTTAGGAAGTTGCTTTCTGTGAAGGAGATCAAATTCATTGTTTTCCTATCAAGTGTAAAAGTCTTAGTATCGCTTGACTAAAGTTATGTGCATGCTCTTATACTTGTAGAGGTAAAGTAGGTTTTATATTCGCACATTTAGAAGTCCCTATGTTGTTTTCCATTTTACTTTAAATATTCGATCGGAATTAGCCTGCAAGTATGACTTATAAACAACATTAATTCTATCTAATTGACTGTGAACAATGTTGTAATTGATAATCATTTGCTGCTAATAAGAATTACCTTATAGAATATCCAAATATAACTTTACCTCTATCTTGTACTTCACTTTGAAGAACCGTTCATCTATAATTTACTATTCATTTATAGAGACCCAGGCCATTTAAGACATAGGTGAGCAGGCCCGTAGCCAGCCTGGTGAAAGGTTTTTTTTTTTCTCAAAAAGTGGACCTTTTTGCAGTTATTCGCCTCATTTTCTGTTTAATTATGATATTTAAATGCTAAATTTAGATGAAATTTTAAGCACTTTTTAACTGACTTTATTGAATCAATTATCTTGTTGGATGGTCATCATAACCACACTTTTTGATGTACCAAAACATTTCCTAAATATTTATAATAAAGAAATAAATATGGCAAATATGTGTTTTTAAAACAGAAATATATTGCATAATTTATCATGCATCAAAGTTTTAAATTAGAAACTGTAGCCTAGTGTAATTTATTAAGCAAATAACTGACTGGCCAGCACATTCAACTTTCCTCAGTCAGAATTTGGCCGTTTGAATAATAAAAAACTAAAACATAATAATAATAATAATAATATTAATAATAATAATAATAACAACAGTTAAGAGCTTCACAGTTTTTCTAGCCTCTTGTATAAGTACTTCACACTTTATTGGTTATTTTTTGTTTCAAGAAAAGTGTCCAAGATTGATAATAAAAGATGCTTGTCAAATCTTTTCCCTATTTGTGTTTTCTTGCACAGCTGGATGTTGGACTCTTGAAAAATAATTGTTTGTATTGGCCAAAACTGATTAACTGAAGTCACACCAGGATTACGCTTGGTCTTAAAGCCTTTTTCGATGGGTTATTTTCACTATTTATGATGGCATAGCAGTCAAAATAGAACAAATGAGCTCATGTATTGGACAAATTCTGGACCTTTGTCAGTGTGGGTGGGTGGGTCTTCCGAACACCCCTGGCTACGGGCCTGTGGTGAGTGTGTTTTTTTTAGTAGACGAAAGGATTAGTTCACACAAAAATGAAACTTCTGTTATTAATTACTCACCTTCACGTCCTTTTAATTCCTGCATGAAATCTAAGTTTCCTCATCATCCTTTTATGGTCCAGACACATTCAAAGTCCAGAAAAGAAACTAAACACATTGTCAAAACATTCCATGTGACTTCAGTGGGTCAACTATAATCATATGAAGCTCCAAGAACACTTTTGTGTGTAAAAAAAAACGTAGCAGATCAGGACATGCGTTTATTATGAACTCTGATGACCTGAAGCGGAAGAGAGGACAAAGAGTGGTACTTAATCACATAATTTTAATTTTTGGGTGAACTAACCTTTTGAAGTTTTACATGAAAGGCCATGGTCCTTTGTTATTCATAAAATGCAAGTCAACAGTTACCTGCTCTTAGAGAGTCAAACATAAATATACAGGCAAAACATAATTAACTTCTGTGACACCTGAAAACACATTGAGGTCTAATAAAGGGAAACTATAGGTCTGTGCAAAAAGCTGAGCAATATTAACAGTAACTTATTATTGCATCTTACCCAATGATCCCACTCACTTCTTTTGACAACAACGATGTCCTTTACATCTCAATCAACTCACATCGTTTAAATGTACCAGTGGCTCTCAACTCAATTTGAAATTAAATCAACATATGAATATATTTAAATCAAAATAGTAATACGTTCTTGTTGATTAAGATATGTGTTTTATTATTAGACACGTCGAGATGGATGCAAAAGTAAGTGACCCCTTTAGCAGCGAGGCAGATCAGCTTCCAGGAGCAGGAATTGTGGGAAGGTGAGTCTGTCACCAGAAATACTACAATCTGTAAAAGCCCAAAACTCCAGAAATTGTTTATTGTTTAACTCTTATTGAGAGTCACATTAGATAAAAGACACTGCTAAATGATTAATTTCTTTAAAAAATATTTTAATTGTAACTTTCTTTGTTGTTGTTTATATATATATATATATATATATATATATATATATATATATATATATGTGTGTGTGTGTGTGTGTGTGTGTGTGTGTGTGTGTGTGTGTGTGTGTGTGTGTGTGTGTGTGTATACATGTATGTATGTATGTATGTATATATATATATATATATATATATATATATATATATATATATATATATATATATATATATATATCACATATA